CCCTACCCTGGGGGTCTTTAAGAAGAGGCTGGATGCCTACCTGGCTGGACTCATTTGAGTCCCGTTTCTTGTTTTGGGGTTTTGTTGTTCTCCCGCCCTGGCGGGGGGTCGGGCTAGAAGATCTACTAGGTCCCTTCCGACCCTAAATCTATGAAACCATGAAACTTTACAGTGTTCACTGTAAGAGGCACGCATTGATTATCCTACCCCAAAGGGTAAGATACTAAATTTACTCTCCAACTACAGCATTTTAAAAGCAAAGAATATTTTTGTCCTCAAACTTCTCTCATAATCTGATCAAAAACATCCATATTTACCTGAAAGTTGTGTGTAATTGTCACAACTGAAAATACATGTAGGTACTCCTATACACTGAACTTACTGGCACTAAGCAACAACTGCATTCTGCATGTAGTCACATAAATACACATGCAGTAAAAGCATAGATCCCACAATCTTTAAGAAAAAAGGACTACATTTTTCCATATTAATTAAAAAGAAATACAAACCCCTAACATTCACAAGTATTCACTTCCTTTAACTTATTTTTCTGCAATTTCATAACAAATTGACTAGGAGCTTGAATGTCTTAGAGAAGATGACAACTGGCTACTAGCATCCAAATTATTCATCTTTTAATCAGCAGGGGGAAATTACTTTGACACCTAAATCCTATATTTCACTTTTATAGGAACCCCAAATAAAAACAAAAATTATATATTATTTATGCTGTCTAATGCAAAATCAGGAAATCATTTTTCAGCTGGTACATTTTTTAACAGCAAAGCAGCACAAAATGCTGTATATTAAGGATTATAAATCAGGGTAAATTTACACATGAATCTCTTATAACCTACAATTACACACTATTTTTGTGAACACCTCCATACATACAGAGATACAAAACTATAAAACAGGGGTGCACCAATAGAGATTTTTGGGGCTGACACCAATAGCCGATTTCTAAGGAGGCATGTTGGCTTATACCCATCCGATTTCCAACACCCGGCAGCTTGGAGAGCTGCTGTAGCTGGTAAGTCTGTTGTGGTGGAAGGGCAGGAGGGAGGGAATGGGCATGGGGGGCAGATCAAGGTGCTCATGGTGAGGGAGAAGTGGGGCTGGGGCAAGCGCTGCACAGCCAGGGCGTGGAGGGGAGGTACACAGGATGGAGCTACAGCTTCTTCAGGGGGTGCAGGGGGGCAAGGGCTCCTGTTGCTGCATGCCGCTCATCCAGCGACTTCCACTGCTGCTCCCGCCACTCATCCAAGAAGGCATATGGGGGGACACGGACATGTACCCCCCGACCTCCAGAGCTCTTCCCAGCTTGCCCCATGCAGATCCGGGGGCACACCCCCCACATGCCCGCCCAGACGAGTGGCAGGAGCAGTGGCAGGAGCCGCCAGGCAAGCAGCTCCCAGATGAGCGGCACACAGTGGCAAGAGCTGCCCCCCCCCCCACACACACACTTCCTCACACTCCCCAGAAGAGCCCCACTCCTCCCTCACCACGGGGGCCATGATTTGCCCCCCTGCACCCCTCTCTTCCTCTATCCCCTTCCACAACAACAGACTTACCAGCTGCACACAGCTCTCCAAGCTGCTGAACTGTGCTCTTCGCCACCTAGGTGCTGCGCTGTGGCTGTGTGCATGCACAGCCATTTATTAGCCAAATTATCGGCCGATTTCCAATAAAGACAATTTTCTTTATACGAGTGCTGATCTGATATCGGACCAATGTACTGGTGCACCTCTACTATAGAACCAGGTATTTAAAATGTTTTCTGAATTATTCTTAAAAATTTCAAACAAATATACCAAAATGTATGGAATACCCACAATGGTCAGACTATGAGTCTGAGCACGTTTAGGGACTATTCCTATTCTGTCCCCAGTGTAAATCTAGAGTAATCCCACTTCACTGAATAGTGACTTGATGATCTGCTTAGGTCCCTTTTAACCCTACCAACTATGAAACACAAGGGTAAAAAAAATAAGAAACCAGAATCAGTCCCTTATTTCTAGGGGTGCACTTATAAAGATTTTCTTGGCCAATACTGATAGCCGATTATTAAGCAAGCATATTGGCCAATACTGTCCTGATAACCAATTTACAGGAATGCAGCCAGGCAGTGTGAAGCGCAGCGCGCTCTGCACCTGCAGGTAAGTCTGTGGAAGGGAAGGGGCATGGGGGAG